TTGTGGTTTACGGTCTCAAAGGCTTTTTTCAGATCCAGAAAGACTGCCCCCACCACTTCACCTCTGTCCATGGACATTTTCAGATTTTCAATAAAACAGCAGTTGGCTATTTCGGTGGAGTAACCTGCCCGAAAGCCAAACTGCTGTGGGTGTAGAAGGTGGTGGGCCTCTAGGTGGTCAGTCAGCTGAGTGGCTACAGTCTTTTCAATAATTTTGGACATAGTTGGTAAGATAGCAATGGGCCTGTAGTTAGACATATTGTCCTGTGCTCCTGATTTAAAAATTGGGACAATAACTGCTTTTTTCCACACTTCAGGGAATCTGCAAGTTCTAATTGAGAGATTGATAAGATGTGTCAAGGGTTTGATTAGTGCAGTCTGATAGCTTTTTAGGAAGCAGGTGTTCATATTATAAATGTCATTTGATTTCGAGTTTGATAAATTTGCTACAATTCTTGTTGTTGTTTTTTCATCAATTTCCAAGATTTGAAAACACTCTGCATCTATTGTTGGGCCTGGATCTGAGAGTTTGCAGGCCTCGAAATGACTGGTTATTTCTTTTATTGATTGGACAAAGTGGTTGTTAAACTCATTGGCAATGGTGGCACTGTTGGTAATTCTGTTGCCATTTATTGTGATTTGCATAATTTCATAGATACATCTGTCATTGATCCAGATATACTGTAGGTGGTGAGTATAGAGCCGTGTAGAGTATCAGGTGAGTATAGAGCACTGTCAGGAGGTGAGTATAGAGCACTGTAGAGTATCAGGAGGTGAGTATAGAGCGCTGTAGAGTATCAGGATGTGAGTATAGAGCAGTGTAGAGTATCAGGTGGTGAGTATAGAGCAGTGTAGAGTATCAGGAGGTGAGTATAGAGCGCTGAAGAGTATCAGGAGGTGAGTATAGAGCAGTGTAGAGTATCAGGTGGTGAGTATAGAGCAGTGTAGACTATCAGGAGGTGAGTATAGAGCAGTGTAGAGTATCAGGTGGTGAGTATAGAGCACTGTAGAGTATCAGGTGGTGAGTATAGAGCACTGTAGAGTATCAGATGGTGAGTATAGAGCGCTGTAGAGTATCAGGAGGTGAGTATAGAGCGCTGTAGAGTATCAGATGGTGAGTATAGAGCGCTGTAGAGTATCAGGAGGTGAGTATAGAGCGCTGTATAGTATCAGGTGAGTATAGAGCACTGTAGAGTATCAGAAGGTGAGTATAGAGCAGTGTAGAGTATCAGGAGGTGAGTATAGAGCAGTGTAGAGTATCAGGTGGTGAGTATAGAGCGCTGTAGAGTATCAGAAGGTGAGTATAGAGCAGTGTAGAGTATCAGGAGGTGAGTATAGAGCACTGTAGAGTATCAGGTGGTGAGTATAGAGCGCTGTAGAGTATCAGGAGGTGAGTATAGAGCAGTGTAGAGTATCAGGTGGTGAGTATAGAGCAGTGCAGAGTATCAGTTGGTGAGTATAGAGCAGTGTAGAGTATCAGGAGGTGAGTATAGAGCGCTGTAGAGTATCAGGAGGTGAGTATAGAGCAGTGTAGAGTATCAGGTGGTGAGTATAGAGCACTGTAGAGTATCAGGTGGTGAGTATAGAGCAGTGTAGAGTATCAGGAGGTGAGTATAGAGCGCTCTAGAGTATCAGGAGGTGAGTATAGAGCGCTGTAGAGTATCAGGAGGTGAGTATAGAGCGCTGTAGACTATCAGGAGGTGAGTATAGAGCAGTGTAGAGTATCAGGTGGTGAGTATAGAGCGCTTTAGAGTATCAGGAGGTGAGTATAGAGCAGTGTAGAGTATCAGGTGGTGAGTATAGAGCACTGTAGAGTATCAGGTGGTGAGTATAGAGCAGTGTAGAGTATCAGGTGGTGAGTATAGAGCACTGTAGAGTATCAGGAGGTGAGTATAGAGCGCTGTAGAGTATCAGGAGGTGAGTATAGAGCAGTGTAGAGTATCAGGAGGTGAGTATAGAGCGCTGTAGAGTATCAGGAGGTGAGTATAGAGCAGTGTAGAGTATCAGGTGGTGAGTATAGAGCAGTGTAGAGTATCAGGAGGTGAGTATAGAGCACTGTAGAGTATCAGGTGGTGAGTATAGAGCACTGTAGAGTATCAGATGGTGAGTATAGAGCAGTGTAGAGTATCAGGTGGTGAGTATAGAGCACTGTAGAGTATCAGTTAGTGAGTATAGAGCGCTGTAGAGTATCAGGAGGTGAGTATAGAGCGCTGTAGAGTATCAGGAGGTGAGTATAGAGCAGTGTAGAGTATCAGGTGGTGAGTATAGAGCAGTGTAGAGTATCAGGAGGTGAGTATAGAGCACTGTAGAGTATCAGGTGGTGAGTATAGAGCACTGTAGAGTATCAGATGGTGAGTATAGAGCGCTGTAGAGTATCAGGAGGTGAGTATAGAGCGCTGTATAGTATCAGGTGAGTATAGAGCACTGTAGAGTATCAGAAGGTGAGTATAGAGCAGTGTAGAGTATCAGGAGGTGAGTATAGAGCAGTGTAGAGTATCAGGTGGTGAGTATAGAGCGCTGTAGAGTATCAGAAGGTGAGTATAGAGCAGTGTAGAGTATCAGGAGGTGAGTATAGAGCAGTGTAGAGTATCAGGTGGTGAGTATAGAGCGCTGTAGAGTATCAGGAGGTGAGTATAGAGCAGTGTAGAGTATCAGGTGGTGAGTATAGAGCAGTGTAGAGTATCAGTTGGTGAGTATAGAGCAGTGTAGAGTATCAGGAGGTGAGTATAGAGCGCTGTAGAGTATCAGGAGGTGAGTATAGAGCAGTGTAGAGTATCAGGTGGTGAGTATAGAGCACTGTAGAGTATCAGGTGGTGAGTATAGAGCAGTGTAGAGTATCAGGAGGTGAGTATAGAGCGCTGTAGAGTATCAGGAAGTGAGTATCAGGAGGTGAGTATAGAGCGCTGTAGACTATCAGGAGGTGAGTATAGAGCAGTGTAGAGTATCAGGTGGTGAGTATAGAGCAGTGTAGAGTATCAGGTGGTGAGTATAGAGCACTGTAGAGTATCAGTTAGTGAGAATAGAGCGCTGTAGAGTATCAGGAGGTGAGTATAGAGCGCTGTAGAGTATCAGGAGGTGAGTATAGAGCAGTGTAGAGTATCAGGTGGTGAGTATAGAGCAGTGTAGAGTATCAGGAGGTGAGTATAGAGCAGTGTAGATTATCAGGAGGTGAGTATAGAGCAGTGTAGAGTATCAGGTGGTGAGTATAGAGCGCTGTAGAGTATCAGGAGGTGAGTATAGAGCACTGTAGAGTATCAGGTGGTGAGTATAGAGCAGTGTAGAGTATCAGGAGGTGAGTATAGAGCAGTGTAGAGTATCAGGAGGTGAGTATAGAGCAGTGTAGAGTATCAGGAGGTGAGTATAGAGCAGTGTAGAGTATCAGTTGGTGAGTATAGAGCAGTGTAGAGTATCAGTTGGTGAGTATAGAGCGCTGTAGAGTATCAGGAGGTGAGTATAGAGCACTGTAGAGTATCAGGTGGTGAGTATAGAGCACTGTAGAGTATCAGGTGGTGAGTATAGAGCAGTGTAGAGTATCAGGAGGTGAGTATAGAGCAGTGTAGAGTATCAGGTGGTGAGTATAGAGCGCTGTAGAGTATCAGGTGAGTATAGAGCACTGTAGAGTATCAGGTGATGAGTATAGAGCGCTGTAGAGTATCAGGTGAGTATAGAGCGCTGTAGAGTATCAGGAGGTGAGTATAGAGCACTGTAGAGTATCAGGAGGTGAGTATAGAGCGCTGTAGAGTATCAGGAGGTGAATATAGAGCACTGTAGAGTATCAGGAGGTGAGTATAGAGCAGTGTAAAGTATCAGGAGGTGAGTAGAGAGCACTGTAGAGTATCAGGAGGTGAGTATAGAGCGCTGTAGAGTATCAGGAGGTGAGTATAGAGCACTGTAGAGTATCAGGAGGTGAGTATAGAGCAGTGTAGAGTATCAGGAGGTGAGTATAGAGCGCTGTAGAGTATCAGGAGGTGAGTATAGAGCGAGTATAGAGCGCTGTAGAGTATCAGGAGGTGAGTATAGAGCGCTGTAGAGTATCAGTTGGTGAGTATAGAGCAGTGTAGAGTATCAGGAGGTGAGTATAGAGCGCTGTAGAGTATCAGTTAGTGAGTATAGAGCGCTGTAGAGTATCAGGAGGTGAGTATAGAGCGGTGTAGAGTATCAGTTGGTGAGTATAGAGCGCTGTAGAGTATCAGGAGGTGAGTATAGAGCACTGTAGAGTATCAGGTGGTGAGTATAGAGCACTGTAGAGTATCAGGTGGTGAGTATAGAGCAGTGTAGAGTATCAGGAGGTGAGTATAGAGCAGTGTAGAGTATCAGGTGGTGAGTATAGAGCGCTGTAGAGTATCAGGTGAGTATAGAGCACTGTAGAGTATCAGGTGATGAGTATAGAGCGCTGTAGAGTATCAGGTGAGTATAGAGCGCTGTAGAGTATCAGGAGGTGAGTATAGAGCACTGTAGAGTATCAGGAGGTGAGTATAGAGCGCTGTAGAGTATCAGGAGGTGAATATAGAGCACTGTAGAGTATCAGGAGGTGAGTATAGAGCAGTGTAAAGTATCAGGAGGTGAGTAGAGAGCACTGTAGAGTATCAGGAGGTGAGTATAGAGCGCTGTAGAGTATCAGGAGGTGAGTATAGAGCACTGTAGAGTATCAGGAGGTGAGTATAGAGCAGTGTAGAGTATCAGGAGGTGAGTATAGAGCGCTGTAGAGTATCAGGAGGTGAGTATAGAGCGAGTATAGAGCGCTGTAGAGTATCAGGAGGTGAGTATAGAGCGCTGTAGAGTATCAGTTGGTGAGTATAGAGCAGTGTAGAGTATCAGGAGGTGAGTATAGAGCGCTGTAGAGTATCAGTTAGTGAGTATAGAGCGCTGTAGAGTATCAGGAGGTGAGTATAGAGCGGTGTAGAGTATCAGGAGGTGAGTATAGAGCACTGTAGAGTATCAGGAGGTGAGTATAGAGCAGTGTAGAGTATCAGGTGGTGATTCTAGAGCGTAGAGTTTGAAATGGAGGAGTCCAAATGCCTGGAGCCTGAGAATGCCGCCTCATCAGTTTTGGAGAACACGTCACGCTCCACAAGTGCTGATAAATCAAAGGCAGCGCCAGATCAATACAATAAACATAAATCCACTTTAATAATAAATCTGTTTTCAGGTTTCACAGGCTCAAGATTCACTTCAGACTTTCTCACACAGAGGCAAAAACACACTGCAGCAGGAGGCAGCAGGAGGCAGCTCATGACACCCTCAGTCTTTGTCTGTTTCACAAAAACACATGTAGCTCAAGGTCCCACTCGTTCCCATTAGTGCGCACAGCCTTTAAAGTCATGGGAGTGAGGGAGCATCCGTCTCTGCAGCAGATGTATTTGAGGAGACTGTAATTAGACAGGCAAAGAACATCACCTCAGAGCCCTCCCATGTCCTCCACTCTCAGTATGAGCTCCTCCAATCAGGCCGCCGCTACAGTTTACCCACTAGAAATAAGAAACGATATCTAAACCGGTGTAAGAACTCATTCCTGCCCATATCTGTGAACCTCCTGAACGCAAACCATCGAGCAGAGCTGATGGTTAATGTCTGTGTTACTGTTTTTATGTCTGTCTTATGTGTATTTTCAATGTAGCAGCTGTGAGTCCAAGACACATTTCCTACGGGACATAATAAATTAATCTTGAATCTTGAATCATTCTATCTGTGGTCATGACAAAGAGAGCCCAGAGACAAAGGTGCTGTGGCTCAGTTGGTCAAAGTGCCTGTAGACAAGAGATCATGGGTTTGAATCCCAGCAGTGCCTTAACGTCCCAGATGTGCAGAAGAAAAAGATTTAGTCCCTTATCCATTCAGCAACATTATGAAAGCAGCCGTTAGTCTGGTGTTTTACTTCTTGCTCTCACGTCTACATTATTTCATCTCCACAGTGTTTTCTAGATCTCAATGATCCAACTTCTCACTTTCTTCTTTGTGTCCAGTGTTTGGCCTCAGTGGGACTGGACGCCAAAAACACAGTCTGCATCTGGGACTGGAGGAAAGGCCGGATCCTGGCCACCGCCACGGGACACTCTGACAGGGTGAGACCAGAGACCAGGGACCAGGGACCAGAGACCAGCGACCAGGGACCAGGGACCAGAGACCAGCGACCAGAGACCAGAGACCAGAGACCAGAGACCAGAGACCAGGGACCAGAGACCAGAGACCAGAGACCAGAGACCAGAGACCAGAGACCAGAGACCAGAGACCAGAGACCAGAGACCAGAGACCAGAGACCAGAGACCAGGGACCAGAGACCAGAGACCAGAGACCAGAGACCAGGGACCAGAGACCAGAGACCAGGGACCAGAGACCAGAGACCAGGGACCAGGGACCAGAGACCAGACCAGAGACCAGAGACCAGAGACCAGAGACCAGAGACCAGAGACCAGGGACCAGAGACCAGAGACCAGGAGGAGGATCAGTTTGTAGTCTGGCTGCATAACAAACCCTTCTGTCCTCCAGATCTTTGATATTTGCTGGGACCCTTTCCAACAGAACCGTATGGTGAGCTGCGGAGTCAAGCACATCAAGGTAATTCCAACACTCTCAGCTCCAGGCACATGTAGTCTGAGGGGCCTCTGAAGGGCCGCTGAGGGGCCGCCGAGGGGCCGCTGAGGGGCCGCTGAAGGGCATCTGAAGGGCCGCTGAGGGGCCTCTGAGGGGCTGCTTTTACATGAATGCATAACTGACTATGGCGGACCCTTTACCTGCTCTTTCCCTGCGTCTGTTCTTATGTTTAATCTGCCTTTGAGACCAAGCCCCCAACCTTCAAACCAGAGGCCCCTGCTCATTAGCCCAAGCTCGCACCATAGAGGCCGAAATAACAGCAGAAGCGACGCATTCCATCTGTTTATGGTACTTCCGCAGAGTGTGGGGAGCATTCTGACCAATCAGAGCAGACTGCTGCACATTCTGCTGTAAGTGTTTAAATTTCAAAAGAAAAAGTTCAAGTTCACGACCAGGGGCAGTAAAATCCTACTAAATCCATTATTTGCGAAAACTGTAGGTTCATTGAGTCTATGGGGACATTTTTGGGGTCACTTTGTTGAATTTTAGATAATACATTCATGATGCAAAAGTATATATCTGACCAGAGACGCCCAGACCTCCTTCTCCAGATTGAAACCAGAGACAGCATTGTTTTTAATGGACAAAAATAATGCGTAATATATATTCTTTAAATCCAGTCTGTGACCCGCAGTTCTGGTCTCTGTGTGGGAACGCCCTGACGCCCAAACGGGGAATCTTCGGGAAGACGGGAGACCTGCAGACCATCCTGTGTGTGGCAGCGGCTAAAGACGACACCACGTACTCAGGGGCCCTCAACGGGGACATCTACGTGTGGAAGGGCCTCAACCTGACGCGCACAGTCCAGGCCGCACACGGGGTAAGAACCAGTCTCCTGCCGTCACTCATTTTTGTAAAGCCCAAAGTCACAGCAGTAGTTATTGCGGCGGACTTTGCAGCGTTGTCGATT